TTTAAAAAATAGCGACATCGAAGAAACAAAAGGGAAAAAAACATCAACAACAACAACAACAAAGACAACTAGAATTTAATTCGTCACGAAGACGAATAAGGTGGTCTGTCTATGTCTTATGACAAATTTGAGAATGGGAGAAGTTATATAGACATGTAAACAATGATGATCATGATGAACATGATGATAATCATGATAGTAAAGGTGATGATGATGATAATGATAATGTTATATGATGATAAAAACGATAATGTTAATGATGATGATGACCATAAGCATAATCCTGACATCTGATTGAAAAAAATGAGGAAATATTTAAATAGCAAATAGTCTCAGCTACAACATACTAAAATTTGGGAGAAAACTGTTGAATAATAACCGAGATACTGGTCAAAACACATTGTCATGCAGATACATGTTTTGACAAAAGTGACCTCCCATAGACGTAACACGCAAATATGACAAATTATGCATTGTCGCCTTTAATCGAATATTTCACTATGATGACGTCATTTAAATGAAAAATAAAGAACATATTTCTGGTAGAGAATTAGCTCAGCTACAACATATCAAAATCTGGGAGTAAATCGATTACCGATAAGCGAGATAATCTCAATTAAACAAAGACAAAAATGACGTCATCAACAAAATACATTTTCTTTAGTTTAGATGCAAATATGAAGATTTTTTTTCACTTTGTACGAGTCAGGGTGGTATGAAATCATATCTCCAGCTCATGCTCTTTCCAACCATGATATAAAAATTGAGGGTCGACGGACTATCTGAAGAGCTATTTCGATTTATAAAGTAGCATGTTTTTGATCAAATTTACATTATATTGCCCATAGCAGCACGCGCGGAATTTGAACTTTGACGCGCGCTCACGGCCTTATGAAAGGTCAAGAGTAACTGAAATTAATGTAAATTGTCATTTATGGTAAGAGGAATCTAAATCATGTAAACAAATTGAATTTGACCTTTTCCGCGCGTTGTGAGCGCGCGCACCGCGCGCGGGGACAAGTACGGATGGAAATTTTTGAAATGCTTCAAATGACCTGATTCGTACTCTCCTTTAGTAGTTAAGTGATTTTGAGCATTTTAAAATTTTGACGCGCGCGTACGTGCGCGTCATGACCTTTATGTGACCTTTGATGACATGACTTGTTGACCCTTGACCTGAAATATATGTGATTTGAATATGAATGACCTTTGCTTAGGCATCATGAAGATATGATGGATAACGTGATTTCACAAAATGGCGCCTGGATGACGTCACGATGACCTGATGACCTTGAAAAGGTTACTGTCACGTCTCATGACAATGACCTATGACTGTGTCAAAATTGAAAGAAATTAACACAACCGATCTTGAGTTAACCGATGAACAAAAAACGGGGAGAAATAAAATAAATAATAATAATAAATAAATAAATAAATAAAGAAAGAAAATTCTGACGAAAACAATAGGTGATCTGTCGTTGACAGACCACCTAATAATTTTCCTGCGTGACTTGTTCAAGGACACATTCTTTCAGTTCGACCCAAGCTTCATGAATTTTTTTTCCCGGAAACAACATCCCCAACAACATCTAAAAGGCATTTAAAAATTGTATAAACCGACTATCAAGCAACAATTTCTACCATATGATAATAATGGACTATAGATAAACAATATCTGTTTTCCCACTCTGACTTTGGAAGCGGATGCCCTAGGAGAGCCCGGAATAGTGACCCAAAAAAATCTTAACAAGAAAAAATTAAATGTGTCCGGGAATTCAGAACAAGACGATTCCAAAACCTGACGAGGTCTTTGGGGTAGAATATGACGAACTCTGCCATTGAACCTTTCCCCAAGAATCATACGAGTATGACTTGTGTAATTTTGTATTATAGAGATATCGACTGCTTTGAGAGGCCAGGCGCGCCGAGAGGTCATGGCAGGATGTGCACGTTCCCGGTGGCTTTTCAGCCAGACCTCGAATATTAAAGCAGTCGATATGTCTTTTATATGCCGCATTGAAACAAAAATCTACCAAGAATTCTTACCTTATATTTTTATCGAGTAAAGATTGGTTAAAACATCACGGAAAATCTGAAAAACTGTTTGTTAATCTTCGCTGGAAAAATGAATGAAAGTTTCAATCACTTTGGAATCGCAGACAAAAAGCACTGTATGTTGTCCGCGCTCGCACAAAGATAATTTTAACACGTAAACCAATGGGATCGCAGCATGAGGCCATTTTTAAAAGACTATTGAATGGTAGGCAGGCATGGCTGAAATCACCAGTGGCGGATCCAGAGGAGGGGCCCCCTCCCACTGGAGGAAAAACGTTTAAAAACACGTTAATTTTACCTTTTGGGGGGAGATGGCCCCCTCCCCTGGTGCTCAAGGGGGGGGGGGGGTTGCGATTTTTCAAATTTTCGAGGGCCAAACAAAAAATTCGTGCTCACTACCCCCCCCCCCTCCCCCACTAAGCGAATTATCGCAGCTGTTTCGCCTCTAAATATTTTCTCACGAATTGGGCCCCCTCCCCTGCCGCCGGCTGGATCTGCCCCTGAAAATCACGCCTCCAATTTCGACCAATCAGATGGCTAGATTTCTACAAAGAGGTATATAACATTAGATACTGCCTAGTCAATAACCACTTGCAGGATTTGATGACGGTGTAACCTACTATTCCCTTTGATAACAAACAAAATCTTGTCACCCCACCTCTCCACGCAGTGTTTTATTTGCCATATAGCAGGACTGATTTGAGTAGTGGTTAGCCCTCTCATTTCGCTTGTGATGATTATTGCCCCCCCCCCCCCCAGTCTGTAATATCCCCACTACCCCAGATATTGTCTTTGTTCATAACAAAATGTTTGGAACCACCAAATAATGATAATAATAGCAAATTTTAAAATGCGCAAAAAGAGCACGTGCACTATAATTATATAGGTATAAACAAATATATATGTCCGATTGAAAAAGATTTGACATGTTTTAGGGGTAATAGAGCATAATGATCTGAAAATAATGCACACTGTCATTTACTCGTCAATTTATTAGCGTGTCTGATGCACACCGACAATTGAAGTCTGGGGGCATATTTCGACTATTTTTAGGAGGTAGGGATAGGTTTATATTGTGTTTATCAAGAAAACAGGTTAGATGACAAAATTGGGGTTGATGATTCCCCCCCCCTTCAAAAAAGAAAACGAAAGAAGAAGAAGAAAGAAGTGAAATGAAGGTATGTATGTGTGTTTGTGGTAGGAGGGGGGAGTACCCCCTCTTCATATCCAGCATCGAGTGTCAATAAATAATGGTAACCACTTCCATTGACATTAAATGGAGCTTTGGGAAATTTGTTAATTGTGTATTGAAACATATGGAAAAGTTATCCGGCACTACATCGCCTTGACTGTTTACCAATTCAGCCAATTTGAAGTGCCCATACGACCGCATATGATTAAAACTTTTTAAAATCGTTCTGTCGTTATTTTGTTGTCACATTTGAAACGTTCACCAGTCAGCTACTCTGAATTTCTGTTTTTTAGAGTAGTTGTCAATTAAGGTTTGATTTTCCATTAAAATATAGGATTTTTTTTCTCGAATGTTGCACCTTTGGAGCTGCGTATTTATCCTGATTTGGGACGCAGAATTCATGAAGATCCTGATTGTGCTTGATATCAAAGCAGACAGACTTATATGGTCACAGAGTTTCGTACGATGCGTTCGTACGAATCTCCCTGTTCGTACGAATTCCAGAGTTTGTAGAGATTTTTAGATTGGGCATAGCTTCTTACGTCCTTCTGATGGAGTTCGTATGAACGCCGTTTAATTTTTCGTTTTTTTTTCTCGTAAGAATGCCTTGAAGTTCTTCTTACGTCAGACTTACGGCCATCTTACGAGTTTTTGGTTCTCGCAAGATGGTCGTACTTGTAACTGACGGCATTCTCAAGTCATTCGTAAAAGATCTTATGTGTGTACGAACGCTTTACGAACGTCAGGATTCGTTCTTACGAAGGCCATACGAATCTCCATTCGCAAGGCGTTCTATGAACGCCGTGAGAGTCCTCTATGAACAACTTAAGGTGTTCTTACGATCATCGTAAGATTTTGAGGCTTCTAGAATTGCCTCTCGACCCTACGAAATGTACGAAGATCTTGCGTGGTTCTTGCGATGTTATTACGACGTTCGTTCGGCCCCCTTACGAAGAGAGGGTTTCATACGAGGTTGAAAAAAATCTTGGACAAGACCATCAACCAGTCTGCGAACGGTCTACGAACGCTGATTTCGTACGGCCTTCTTAAGAAGATCTTACGAAATGGTCTGAAAATCGTTCGTACTGCATTCTTAGCAGGTGGTAAAGGTATTTGAGACCGAGGCTTTAACCCTTCAAAAACGCTTGTTTTGCACTATATCCCATTTTAGGTGCAAAATTACCGGAGCAAAGCGACTGACCTACAGACAAGTTTCGCATATTAAACTCTTAATATATGGACTTTATTCTCTCTCTCTCTCTCTCTCCATTTATCTCGTGTTTTCTCTCCTCTTCTATTTTTCTCTTTCTTTCTTACTCTCTCCATCTATATAAACATCTCTCTCTCTCTCTCCCCTCTCTTTCTGTCTCTGTCTCTCTTTCTCTCTCTCATGCCCTTCCTCTTCTTATTCCCCATCTCATCATCTTCTCTCAGTTAGTTTTAGTTGTCAGCTCTGATTATTTTGCAAACATTGGATTCTCAATCACAAGTATCAATCCCAATATATTTCTTTATTTTACATTCGTCCGTTTCAGATTGCATACAAAAAAGCATAAAATCACCAAAAACACCCTATATTCCTGATGGAAATACTTCTTTTAACTTGTTTCAAGTTCAAGTTCAAGTTCAAATAAGGTTCTATTCATTGCTTAATGATAAATGATTAATTGATTTTTATTTCTCATGCAAAACATAATACAAAAATAATTATATCACAACAAATATGTAATGAAACGATAAATATAGTGGAAATAGCACGAGAAAAGAGAACTAACTTGAAGCAGAGCTTGTTGAAGTGTTAGTTCCTCAGATGCAAATTTTACAATAAAACATGAACAAAGTATGCTTATAGATCAATAAATAGACATTATGTAGCTAGGAAGAAGGAAAAAAATGAGGAAGAAAAAGAAAAGAAAAGAAAAAAATGAAAGGAGGAAAATAGTAGAAGACAAAAACAAAAGCTCTAGAAAAGGGAGATTGAGAAAGAGATTGTCAACAAGTCCGAAGAAACAACAATTGATATCCTGAAATCAGTATATTTGATTTGGCTGTCGATAAAATTACGACACAAAGCTCTAAATGGTCAAACTCCTAGTTACGTTAATGAATTGTTGCATATCAAGTCTCAAACTCATGGTCGTAACCTTCATAGTACACAAGACACAGTTATGTTGCAAATACTCCCATATAAAACCAAAGTAACCCTCGGGGACCGGACATTTCTCTGTGCTGCCCCTAGATTATGGAATAAATTACCACTAGAAATAAGGAAAGCCCCATCACCAGATAATTTTTAATCAAAACCGAAAACTCACTTGTTCATATAGTATGACAGTATAGCACAGCATTTACGAGCTCTTGCAGCGCAGTAGAATATATCCACATAGTTATTGCGCTTTACAAAATGAATATTATTATTATCTGTTTTGTTTGTTTGTTACTATCAAGGTCGATTGAATAGAGACCTTTATCATGAGAACTACCAATTACATAAAACACGAAACCTATATACATTATTTACACAAAATATTAAATAGGATATATTTTCTCTCTTTGTTTCGTTCATCTGTTCTTCCCAAAGTGCATGTATTTGCCTATAACGAATAATGATGGCAATGTAAAAAATAAAAAGTGAGCAAATTTTCTTAGAAACTACAGCAAGTGCAACTTTCTCATACAGAGAATGGTTTAAGAGGACATATATGCCCGTGAAAATAGTATAAATATCATCCAATGTACAAATGCTATTTACAAGTGGAACCTATGTGTAAGAAGCGTGCATTTGTTAATGAAATTATTAATACTCTTGTAATTGTGATTAACATGTATATTTCAAGACAAATCATCTCGAAATAGGCATTTTTCTGTATGTAATCTCAAGAATTGTAATGAGAAAAATGTCTAATTTACTCGTTAATATAATAAAACATATTGCAGTAAGAATATGACCACTTATATCAATAAACTAAGGTTGGTACAAAAATACCGAATGGTTTATTCCCTACCTGGAGGCCATTATATGTTGATCACATTTTATGTATCTTTTCTAACCATGCTAACGTGTTGATTAAAGCAAATAAATAATAATAAAATAATAATAATGAAAACGGTGATTATATAGCGCTTTTCACCAAAGTCTCTAAGCATCGAATTCCGATTCAACTTTCAATATTGCAATTAATAACATGTTTCCTATAAATCTGTCGATTCATTTTAAAGGGAGCATCTGTAGGTACTGACATATATAATTGGAACAATAGTTTTAGGGTTTTTCATTCTTAGCCACAGAATAAGCGAAAAGCAAAATTAATGAAAAAAGGAATATTTTCACATGTTCACAAGTACGTTTGTGGTACATGGGGGCATGATCGAACCTAAATTTGTGGGAACATAATTATTGTGTGTGACTACGCTATGTCAGACTTGGATTTTCAATCTGAAACTTCAACAGATCACATTCTTTACAAGAACCTATTAAACAAATTCGTATTCTCCTGACAATGCTCATGAAATTAATTATTATAAACAATGACCTTCACAATGACTTTGATGATGACCTTGCTGATAACCTTGTAGATTACCACACCCTTGAAGGTCTTGATAGAGTAGGGTTTTATACACGAGGGATACCGAAAGAGCCATCAGACGGGACTAAACTTAGACGGTCGTATTTAGACAATGTTAGTGTTCCTGCAGCTCTGTCATAGATGAGGTAATGACCTTAATATTGAGAGAGAAAGAAGGGGAGAAAGAGAAAGATTGTAAAATGGTTGAATTCGAGGCTTACGTTCTTTTTAATCCCTATTCTTAGCATAAAAAAGAATCCAAAAGAATTTGCTAATTCCCCTTCTCCAATCCCTTAGTAATCAAGATAATAATTCCTTAAGGTAGAATTGAACATCCCATTCAACTTTTCACAGTTAAAGGGCCCATGAAATCGAAATACAAGTGTATTCCTGTTGGTGTGCAGTCCTGCATACATCTCATATTTTGTTATGTAAACTTTTGAATTTGTTTCATAGATTTTTAAATATTTTTTGAAACATTTGTTTTTCAAACTTGCTAAGCTCCACCCCCAAAAACCTCCAGATCTCATTCCCCTTGTGTCATCATCTGTCAGTCATCAATGAGCAAACTTGATAAAGTGGTATGTATACCTTTGCCGAAGTCGACCACCTGTTACAGTACGTCATACAATAGCAACATACAAGTTGCTATGTCAGATATGCTGTAGCATCATCAGGAAGACAAAGGCAATGATGATGTATCGTACATATGTATGGAAGCATGCAATTCTATTATGAACGTGTGCTAAGCTGGGGGAAATTACATACCATTGTCTATTCTAGAATATTAGTTTAGTCTGACATGTCTGACATAGTAACTTATATGTTGCTATTGTTTGTGGTATTGTAACAGGTGGTCAAATTTGGCAAAGTTACTTGCCACTTTCTTAGGAGGTCTTTAGGAGGTCTTTATTTTATTCACCCTAATTCAGTTGATAGTTACCTTGAAGCTCCACTGACTCGAACACGAAAGTGCCATCACTTCTGTGTATCTTGTCAAGCATACATGCTAGATCCGGATTATAAGGATCCTCCATCAGCTGAAAATAAACAATAAATGCAGAAAATCATGGGTTTAACTATAAAACAAAGTACATTGAAAAATATATTTTTTGAATCATTTTATCTACATGACCTTCAGTTTCAATTAATCTAAATGGCAAATATGCGCGGTATCATTTTTTCTGTGACATGTGCAGTGTAGTATAGAGGGTAAACTAAGTTTTTTCCCTTCTTTGGGAGTACGATTGATCTAGACTTTGTGAGAATGCACCTAACACCCTAGTCCACATTCAGTCCGATTTTCTATTTTGTATTCTTCTGTCACACGCAAACATCCCACCAGGGGCGGCGATCCCGGGGGACGGGGGAGGGGGACACGTACCCCCTGATTTTTTTTTTAGGGGGGATCGTACCCACTAAAAATTTTAAAAAGTGCAAAAAAAAATGTATAGCAAATAATGTCTAAAGGCTGCAATACACTTTTAGGCTCTGGAGGGCCCAAGAGTGCAGCTTTTGGCAAATAAGAATGCAAAAATCTTCTCGCTCGGGAGCTACGCTCCCTCGCATAATATCCTTCGAAATGTACAAGTAAATACAGAGAAAAGTGAAGTGTGAAAATAGTATATTGTTTGTTTTATACTATAGTTTTGCTAAGGAATATAATTTTTTAATACAACAAAACTTCAAAAACCTATGCGGGGGTATTAAGTTCCGTCATCTTCGCCCCTCTCGTTCACTTTGCTCCCTCGCCCTTGCGTACTGATAGGGGGAGCTAAGGGGGCAGTCCCCCTTAAAAAATTGCATAACGGCATGATTTTTCCCTGAGCTTCCGGGGGCTCTGCCCCCTGGACCCCACCAAGGCCCTAAGGCGGGCCCCTGGTACATCATCTGAAAACCTGAAATGCCTTTAAAAAACCTGAGTTTCCAGGGGCTCCGCCCCCAGGACCCCACCAGGGCCCTTTTAGCCGGGCCCCTTGTTGCTCATCTGACCGTCATTAAATGCCTAAAACCCTAGAGCTTCCGTGGGCTCGGCCCCCTAGACTCTGGATGCTCATCTAATCGTAATTTAATGCCTAAAACTCCTGAGATGCTGGAGGCTTTGCACCCTGGACCGCACTCCAATTAGTGACTTGCATGTCAGTGTCACAAATAAGGTATAAGAATATGCTCATTTGACCTTGATTAAATGCCTAAAACCCCTGAGCTTCATGTGTCTCACCCTTGACCCTTGCCGGGGGCCACTGGACCCCACTTCAATTTACGCTCCACTTGCTTCGCTCGCTTTGCTCTACCTGATCGTAAATACTTTGGCCGAGCCCCCCCCCCCCCCCCCCCCACTTTGAAAACGCTTCGTGGGGCCAGCATGTAACATGTAAGATTGGTGGTGATGCGGATTTGTTTTTCTGACCACCCACCCCCCAACAACAACAAAAAGTTTATTAAAAAAAGTTTTTGCTCATTGCGCCACTGCTCCCTCGTCCCTCGCATCTCGTCCACCCCCCCCCCCCCCCCGGTCATGAAAAGAAATCGCCGCCCCTGAATCCCACAAACAGCGCTGTGTCTCCACTCATCGCGCGATCCCCAAAAGTACCAAAAAGAACGGTACAGAATGAGAGGAATGGCACTTGAGTTTCTTTAGGGGGATTTTAGCATGGATATAGAATCTCTGGAGGTTTAAAAGATTATTTTGAACTATTAATTTCAAATCACGGGAATCAAGGAAGACAAAACCTTTAGATAATTTCAAGCAATATAAGATTTCAGTTGTGTACCTTCATGCTGTTCTGTACCGCGTCGTATAGTCTATTGGTGTTATGATGACGAATTGCACAGCGTTGGCCTTGCCCCCCTCGATAGAAGTCCAGGTAGAATTGAGCTACAGAAGAGAAGCAAATATAATCTGTTCAAATTTCATGTACATATCTTTTCTTGATATGCAGCTAAACCTGATGAACGTATAGAAAAAAATAATCATTTTTTTTCTTAATTTGTTGCACATGTAAATCAATAAAATCCCTGTGGAGGGAATTAAAAGTAAGAAAAAGGAAAAAAATCATCATAATCATCATCATCACCATCATCATCATCGTCATTATCGTCATTGTCATCATCATCATCACCATCATCATCATCGTCATTGTCACCATCATCATCACCATCATCATCGTCGTTGTCATCATCATCATCATCATCACCCTAATCATTATCATTGTCATCATCACCATCACCACTATCATCATCATCATTGTCATCATCACCACTATCATCATCATCATCACCACAATCACCATCATCACCACCATCACCATCATCACCACCATCACCATCATTAGCACCATCATCATCATCATCACCATCACCATCATCACCATCATCAACACCATCACCATCATCACCATCATCAACACCATCACCATCATCACCATCATCACCACCACCCCCATCACCATCACCACCACCATCACCATCATCATTACCACCACCACCATCATCATCATCATTGTCATCATCACCACCACCATCACTACCACCATCATCATCACCATCATCATTAGCAGCAGCAGCACTTTCATCTCAGTCTTATTGAGTAACCATGGTTACGGACCTCTTGCATCGGTGAATCCTCCCATGGTAACTATTTCTCCTGTAGCATTGAGATAGATCTGTGAAACATCATTTTCATCTTGACTAATGAAAGACAGTGCTGATGTGTTGATCGGCCTTTCACTGCAAATGATCTCCGTATGCACTATTTCCACTACAACTAGATTATGAATGAAAGCAAATACCAAAATCTTCATTTAGAATAGTAGATTTACATTTATTTACATTTATTTATTTGTTTAGTTATTTATGCATGTATTCGTTTTAAAATTCGTTCATTAAATTACAAATATTCCCATTTTTTTATTTTTTTTTATTGTTCCGCACATTACGAATCATGGTCGTATCCTTTCGCTGTTGCTGTAGTTTGTTGCTGTTTTTCAGTGGGTTTTATCATTATCTTTTTTGTTCGGGGGGATGTCCTACTTACCTTCATCATCTATGTTGACCCGTATCGTTGTCTTCTCGAGATGAACCTCATCACCTTCTCCATATTTTCTAAGAATTGTCTGCTCAAGGAAAGATAGTCAAAGCAAAAAATGAGGTAAATTCCTACCTTTATACAAGCGTCAAACACGATCGCAAACTGAAGATCAGTTTTAAAACCATATGAATAGTCTAGAGAAAATATTACGACAGTGCAATGTGACCTTGTATTGTCTGCATATTTCAAAATTGAACAGGTCTATTGACATTGCGTTACGCTGATTTTTGAAAGCATTTGGGATCCTGTTTTTTGTATCACAGAATAGGTGACGCACATTGCAATAGGTAACACACATTACAATAGGTGACACATATTGCAATAGGTGACGCACATTGCAATAGGTGACGCACATTGCAATAGGTGACTCACATTGAAATAGGTGACGCACATTGCAAGAGGTAACACACATTGCAATAGGTGACACACATTGCAATAGGTGACGCACATTGCAATAGGTGACACACCTTGCAATAGGTGACGCACATTGCAATAGGTGACACACATTGCAATAGGTGACGCACATTGCAATAGGTGACGCACATTGCAAGAGGTAACACACATTGCAATAGGTGACGCACATTGCAATAGGTGACGCACATTGCAAGAGGTAACACACATTGCAATAGGTGACGCATATTGCAATAGGTGACGCACATTGCAATAGGTGACGCACATTGCAAGAGGTAACACACATTGCAATAGGTGACACACATTGCAATAGGTGACGCACATTGCAATAGGTGACACACATTGCAATAGGTGACGCACATTGCAATAGGTGACACACATTGCAATAGGTGACGCACATTGCAATAGGTGACGCACATTGCAATAGGTGACACACATTGCAATAGGTGACACACATTGCAATAGGTGACACACATTGCGATATGTTACGCACATTGCAATAGGTGACACACATTGCGATAGGTGACACACAAGGCTGTTGAAATTAGCTTAGGTTGATTTTTATAAAGTACATGTAGTTGCTATCTTGTTATTAGGAATGGATCATGATGTTACGTCAAAACTTGATCAAGATATAAAAACAGTCATAAAGTGAGCGACAATGTTTATACACAGACGTAAACATATAGTACATGAAGTCAGTCAACAAGCTTCTTTGTGTGCACCGTTACTTGTTTATAAAAATGGGTTCAAGAATGTAGCCAATGAGAATTATAAATCACGTGTGAGTGCATTAATTTTAACAATGCGCTCTTGGTGATATCAGCCGTGCAAAAAAGTGTGTAACAGAAAAGCATAACACACGGTTGCGTGTAAATCAATGGATATTTACCGTGCATTGCACAGTTTGTTTACGAGGTCACTGCCAAAGGTCACTGCTCTCGCGCGATCGTCTGTAGCTAGCTAGCTGTGTGCGCGCACAAATACGCGCCCCTGCATGCCCACTTTAATACAATTTTGTGCGATGACAATGACCGAGCGCCGAGTGACCCTGTTGCAAAATGGCAGCCTCTAAGAAGCCGAACTTTCAGCTGCTTTCTGAAGAGATTTGATAGTAGACCCATTTTATAAAACAAATAATACACAGGTTTTTCGTTCGTGACGTTATGGCGACGCAGCGCTATTCAGGTATTCACAATGGCACAAAATTCACTCGGCTACGCCTCGTGAATTTTATTGCACCCTAGTGAATACCCTCATACGCTGCATCGACCATAACGCACTCACACCTGTGTATTATTTGTTTTATAAAATGGTTGCGTGTAAATCAATGGATATTTACCGTGCATTGCACAGTTTGTTTACGAGGTCACTGCCAAAGGTCACTGCTCTCGCGCGATCGTCTGTAGCTAGCTAGCTGTGTGCGCGCACAAATACGCGCCCCTGCATGCCCACTTTAATACAATTTTGTGCGATGACAATGACCGAGCGCCGAGTGACCCTGTTGCAAAATGGCAGCCTCTAAGAAGCCGAACTTTCAGCTGCTTTCTGAAGAGATTTGATAGTAGACCCATTTTATAAAACAAATAATACACAGGTTTTTCGTTCGTGACGTTATGGCGACGCAGCGCTATTCAGGTATTCACAATGGCACAAAATTCACTCGGCTACGCCTCGTGAATTTTATTGCACCCTAGTGAATACCCTCATACGCTGCATCGACCATAACGCACTCACACCTGTGTATTATTTGTATATTCTCACACTTCCGTTTTTCCAATCAAATAACGAGAAATATTGAATAGAGAATAGATAGGATTAAGGTAACTTACCAATGTGAACGTTGTCTCAATATGCATGAAGAGCTTCTGAATCTCACTGATGTCTAATGTGTGTAATTCTGTGTCATTGAGATGGGTGAGTGTATCAGACTCTCTGCTTGAAATGAAGAAGATGGGGAGAAGGAGAAATAGAAAGAGAAAGAGAGATGGGGAGAGAGAAAAAGATAAAGAGAGAGGTAGAGACAAAGAGAGGGGGAGAGATAGAGGAAGAGAGAGAGTGTGTGTGTGTAAGAGGGAGAAAGAGAGAAGGAGAAAATGGAGAGGGAGTTACAGGAAAGAAGTAGGACCAGAAGAGAAGAGACAGAATTAGAGCGGGGAGGCAAATAAGAACAAAGAAAGAAGAGGTTAATAAATAATATGATGAATTTGACAAGTTAAGTGTCATTTTTTGTACTATAAATGTATATTATTATTACCAGCCCATGGTTTTTATACAGTACGTAGCACCGAAGCATGACTTCTTACTGTTATTAAACTCATATAAAGTTTCAAATGCGAAACAAAGGTTCATTTCATCCAATTTCTAAAAATCGACACCAGAAAACAATTAATGCATTTAAATTTTAAAATGTGGTTTTCTTTCATTTCCACAAAATTCCTAATGAATTCATATGAGGGGCTAGTTGCCTGCGTTTAATATATCAATTTTAATTAGCACACCCACACAACATACAAAGAACCAAAAACATGAACAAGCACAAGCAAATGAAAATCATGTGTGAACAGACGTACCTTAAACCAGCCGTATATGCTGCTGTATTAGTGAGTACCCTGGCAAGCTTATACCCTTTCTCCGATTTATTGAGACGAGCACCAAACGGGCATGGGTCGGCGAATCGATGAAAATGAGCCGGTAGATGAACACTGAAACCGTCCAGTTCATAGTCGTCGTCATCATGGTGATGGTGCTGGGAAGCAACAAAGAAAGAATAGATGGTCGATAGAGATTTTATCATGTGAAGGTTTTGATAAGATGATCAATACAATAACACCTGTATATAACGACCACTCAAGGGAGACAAGAAAAGAGGTCTTTCTTTAGGCAGATGGTCTTAACATACAAGTTCCTTAACAACGACAAGTTCAAGTTCAACAACAAAAACTATTCCAGGGAAGCAGAAAATGCGGTCTTTATAGACAGGTGGTCTGTCTGTACAGGTGGTCGCCGAAGCGGGTCACACCAGGCGCGTACGCAGGGGGGGGGTGTTTGGGGGGTAAATCCCCCCCCTTGGTATTTTTATGTGTGTAAACCCCCCTAAAAAATCCCTAAACCCCGCCCCCCCCCCCCCCCCCCCGCCCCCCTTTGGATTTTTTTTTTCGTTTTTTTTTTTTAATTATTTAAAAAAAATAAAAAAAATTACCCCCATGGCTGACCTAAGAAAGCTGGCCTTCCCCCCCCCCCCCAACGGAGCAAATTTTCAAATTTCGAGACCCCCCCCCCCCCCCCCCCCCCCCCCCCCCCCCCCCCCCCCCACTGAGCGACTTTTCGGCTGGCTGAGTCGTTGTGATTTTTTTTTTGGACTCCCCAAAAAACAAAAAAAAGTGTCCGCTTATACTATTTCTCCTTTTTCTCACCATTTGTCATTATCCTGTAATTCAAATCTCAATGAAATGACATTCTTACTGTACGACGTAATAACTCATTCTATTCTAGTTTGACATGATGGATAGGTGAGATTCGAGAGTTTGGATCTATCATACAAACTATTTTCCGACTTAAAAAGTTGAATGATTGAAATATCCTATAAAGCAAGAACTCATTGAGAAAATGTTAGATGATTTCATCAGTTGGTCTGCATATGTCATAATACTATATTGTTCATTAACAAAACAAATTTATTACACTTACTATTATCCCAAAGAGTCCATCGGGTTCGTCACACCCCTCCTCCTCGACGCCCTCCTCGGCTTCCGTCGTCGGATCAGTGTTGTCAGGAATGCTAGGGACATTGACCACCTGTACCTGGCTGAATGACACGTCTGCATTCTCCAAGTCTTCGCTCAGGCAATGGTCTTCTTGCTCTGGTTCGTCACACCCCTCCTTCTCGACGCCCTCCTCGGCTTCCGTCGCCTGAGGTTTGACAGGAATGATCGGGACATTGACCACCTGTACCTGGCTGAATGACACGTCTGCATTCTCCAAGTCTTCGCTCAGGCAATGGTCTTCTTGCTCTGGTTCGTCACACCCCTCCTTCTCGACGCCCTCCTCGGCTTCCGTCGTCTGAGGTTTGACAGGAACCTGTACCTGGCTGAATGACACGTCTTTTTTTTCCAAGTCTTCGCTCAGGCAATGGTCTTCTTGCTCTGATTCGGAGCAACGTTCGCGTTCGATATCGGGTTTGGATTCCTTGGTCGAGGAGTTCTTCTTGGAAACCTTTCTATCAAGAAAGAAGGGATCGTCCAAGTTCTCGATTTGTGCCCGCTTGAATTTCTTGGGTAGGGAGGGCACTTGATCCGCCATCACTCTAGGTGATGAATTTCCCAGATGCAGACAGCTTTCAAGTTTATTTGCCACCTGTGTTCGCGCTGAAACCTGCCGCTTGATCACAGCCTTCCCCACGTAATGTTCAGAAGATCGTTTTCTTTTTTGGATTTGCTCAGCCATATTGGAACTGCTGTTTAATTCTCTTAAATCGAAATAAAAACTATGTACTGGTCGTCGATTGATACTTGAAACCTCTTCTGTGTTGTAGTTGATCGGTATCCTTGTAGGTAATGAGCAGGTAGCTTTGCGAGTCCTGGTATTTATCATTTTCATTCAACACACGTATATCACTGCGCACAAGCCATGGATTCAGTGATATGTAATAATAAGGTCTCACCTTCCTGTTAATAACAAGAAGAGAATTCCCGGAAAAAATATAAAAGGGGCGGACGCTAAGAAGGCGTGGAAAAGTGACGTAGGCAAAAAGGGTGACTAGCTGGCCTGGAGTGACTTGTGATAAGGTCTTAAAGTGTAACATGGTCTTAAAGTGTAAAACGGTGCCTAAGCTCCGAAAAATTATTCGCTGCGTGTGGACGGACAGTACAGTGCGTTGTCGTTATAACTGGCTTCATGCTGCATGCTCGCTCGAGTTAGCAAGCTGCAATGTTTCGCCGAATTGTAACGTGTAACAAAATCCCACAATCAACATTTAGAGCTTGATATAGGAAAACACATGTAAAACATGCTCTTTGCTTTGTTAAAGGTATTACAAAGTTTTGGTATGGGGCCATGAATTTGGTTCAAATACACATCATATGGCTCCGAATAGTCCCATTGGACAACGCCCCCTATCGTCAGAGTCCAGCAGCCTAACATGTTAGCCTACTAACTTTTACCCCCCAAAATCGTTAAAAATTCATTTTTTTGTTTAAACGAAAAGCACATTCACCCCGACGTACGTTGACACTAGCTCTTTCATTGGAACCCTCATGTCCCATTGACTTTTGAAAGTTCACCCACCGTAATTTGGTCAAAATAGGTCGCTAGCTCGCCATTGCCTATATAACACATGTGAAACAAGTCGAACTTTGGACGCAATTTGACAAGCGATTTTAAGGTTATAGGTCAATCACACGAAGGATAACAAGCATGAATTATCATAGATCAGTTCTGATCGGTTCATTATATCCATTTCAGCCAACCCCCCCCCCCCCCCACCGTAATTTTTCCATTTAGTATAGGCAAGCATTTTGCCGAGGTAAGCAAAAACATGAATATTCATGATCGCCATGGACTATTCGATTATTTACAGAGGGGTGCAATTGTGCACCACATCAAACTCCCCTATTTTAAGTCAAGTATTTCATTGTATTATGTAGTTTGGTAGGTTTATTTTAATAATTATTTAATGATCAGATATTTTAAAGATATGGAAAATTTCTTGAATGTTATATTTAGCAAAGCAATATCACATACACATTCACTACGAAGTGTCGTCTAATCCGCCGATTGCCGCCTGCTATATACGACCAGTGAGCGAAAATGAGACAACCGGAGCAATATAATTGGAAACATATGCGATCCTACAATATTCAGTAATCGTTGTCGCGGTTGAAATCGAGTCTAAAGTGATGAAAGTGAAAAAAAATTAACTTTTTTCGTTTTATAGCTTCCTCTCAAGGTCACGATATTAATTAAGCTATGAAACAATGTTTCTTGACTGAAATCGACCGATTGACTAATCCCATTTGGAAATTATATGACAACTAAATATTCTGAGCTTTTCATGGTCGCAACTACCATTGTATGGCCGTAGGCGCTATTTGAAAATATTGAAATTTACCGGGAGCACAAATATTGAAATCATCCCTGATAATGTATTCACGATGTTGGGGGTGTAATATACCAATGTATAAAACAATATTAAAAGATCGCTTTGACGTTTCCATTTGAAGGTGCCCCTTTTCCCAGAAAGTGCCCTTTTTATGGTGCCCCCCTGAATATATTGATTCGTTATATGAATTCGGCGAAACATTGCTGCAGTTAGCTAGTAAGCTCGAGCGAGCTAGCAGCCAGTGGCGGATTCAGGGGGCCAGGGGCCCGCCCCCCCCCCCCCGGCAAAAAAAGAAGGAACAAAAAAGAAGGGAAAAAAGGGAAAAAAAGAAGGAACAAAAAAAAAGAAGGAACAAAAAAAAAGAAGGAACAAAAAAAAAGGAATTAAAGGGTAAAGATATCAAAGGAATCAAAATATGCTCATCTGACCGTAATTAAATACCTTAAACCCCTTGACCTCCGGGGGCTCCATCCCCTGGACCCCACGCCAATTCGTGACCTACAAATGTCACAAATAAGGTATGAAATCATGCTCCTATGCCAGTAATTTATTGCCCCAAACCCCTGAGCTTCCGGGGGCTCCGCCCCCTGGACCCCGCGCCAATTTGTGACCTGCCAGTGTCAAAAATAAGGTATAAAATTATGCTTCTGAGGGCTCCGCCCTGGGAAAAAAAAAGTGTAAGAACACGTTAATTTTACCTTTTTTCTTTAGATAGTCCCCCCCCCCCCCCCCGGCGTTCAAATTTTCGACGGCCAAAAAAAAATTATCGCTTTCTTAGGCCTTTTCAATATTGGTGATACTTTATTTTGTCTTTATGTGGTTTCAAAAAAACAATCAATCAATAAAACTATAGCCATGAATAAAAAATAAATAAAGAGAATTAATGGATCTCAAGATGATCCTGAATAAATGAAATTACAAGTTATTTAATGATACACGCCGCCATAATTCAACTTGGTTTTTCTAATGTCTGATGTAACACTATACAAAAGTCGAATGAGAGGTGCGCGAAAATTGTATCGATTATTCTGAAAAGAATTTTAAAGAAGGAGAGATTAGAGAGGCCTTAATAAGGGGAGTGAGAGGAGACAATCTGGTAGGCTCATCCGATTCGTATATCAACCAATGATCAAATATATGACACAGGAAGAAATTTTACTTTCACTAACTATTTTGCACGCTATTCTAATTGCCGGTATCATGTTCGAATGAAACGACTGGCCTGACTAGAATCTGACCGATTTAGAATCAGTAAATGAACCTAGCTTTAAAAAAATAGTCTTCCGGTCCTGTAATTTAGATAAGAATAAGAGCGGATATACGATGTATTGTTTGATATGCCCGGTAAAGTTCAACAAACTCAATTTTAAGCAAAAAAAGAAGAAAAAATAATAAGAATAAGAGCGGATATACAATGTAGAATTAATTTTGGTATACATTTCCGGTAGAGTTCAACAGAATCTATCTTAATGTTTTGTTTATCTTTCTGAATATCCATCATAGAAAATTAATTCTGTCTGGGCTTTGTAATAAAATGATTGCACAGAAGCAAAAGTGTCGGTTGAATCTTTAATGTAAAATGGATTTCCAGCTTTCATTATTTTAATGTAAGAGGCGCGATAGCTCAGTTGGTAGAGCAGTGGTCTCGTAATCCGGTATTACGGGTTCAATACCAAGTCGATGCACTAATAAGCGCCCTTTGGTAAGGTATTTATCCTAATCACGAGGTCTCTCGGAGAGGACCTAAAGCCGTCGGTACTCTTGTTGCTTACTTACAAGCATGTATGCTTTCTTAGCAGTCAGGTAAAATGACCACCACCATTAATCAAAATGTATTTATTTTCAATTCTACTTTATCTAAGAAATGTAGTCGTTTGAAATCTACGAGAAATAACCACAAAACAAATATATATAACCCTACATGGTGCATTAAGTGGTGCATTAAGTGCATTAAGTGCATTAAGTGCATTAAGTGGTGCATTAAGTGGACTTCATAAAAATCCCGTAACATGAGAGTAATTTTAATAGTTTCATACTATTAATTAAATGTATTGTTAACTGTAACTGTATAATTGTTTTAAATGGGGGCACGCTACAAGAGTCCTATCTCGCACCCCGGGGCAACGTGTCTGACACGGCCGGTTGTAGCAACTACTCCGAAGATCAAGATTACAGTAATCTTGATCTAAGGAGACACGAACGAACGAACGAACGATAAAAATCCTAACCCCTAACCCTAACCCTAACCCTAAAACCTAACCCTATCCCTAAACCTAACCCTAACCCTAAACCTAACCCTAACCCTAATCCTACCCCTCACCCTAATGTCTACTTAATGACTCACTTTTTTTTACTCCAAATGTCCCTCCAATGACGCCTTTAGTAAAATTACATATATAGAGAGAGATGATATATAATAACAAAATTGGGCCTTCTATGAGAAATAAAACGTTAAAAAAACGTTAAGAGGACACCAAATTGTCCTAATGACAATGTCTACTTATTGACTTATTTTTTCACTCCCAATGTCCCTCTAATGACACCTTTAGTAAAATATAAATATGTATATATTAAGTTGCATACAGAATGGGTTTATACAGGTGGTAGAGCCTGTATAACATATAAAAGCATTCATTAAACATGGCTCTGGATTTGACTGGATAGCATGTAGGAACTTTTTTCCTCATTGTAATGATGATAGTGTAATTATTGTAATTGTGCCGCTATATAATTTCTCAGGAATCTGGGGGGGGGGGGCACCAACAATAAGGGGCACTTTCTGGAGAAAAAAAGGGAAACCTACAATGGGAAATCTCAAAACGAAAATATACATTTTTTAGACATTGGTATATACCCCTACGTTGTGATTACATTATCAGGGATAATTTCAATATTTGTTTCTCTATATACATCATAAAATATATTACTTAAGCATTGAACTTTGCAGTTAGGTGTGATGTCTGAATATTCATTTGCGAGCGAGCGAAGCGAGCAAGGAAAATCTTTAAGATTTGTGAGGTCGCAGTGTGAAAAATTACATCTTATAAAGAGGAGGAAAAAACGATCCTGATGGGGTTAGCGAGCGAGCTTTGGGGAAAATTGCTCTTAGTCGCTTTAAATTAGGGGCACGTTTCATGATGAGAGGAAAAGGGGACACTTATCGAAAGGGATAAATCAACACACTTATTAGAAAAGAAAAGGAGCACGTTTCAAGGTACAAAGGGTGATTACCAGAGGTGAAAATGAGGCACTTCTTACACCTGGAAAGAGGCACTCACAAGGAATATAAAAAAGGCACTTATGAGAATGGAAAAATTGCAATTATTGCGAAGGAAAAATTGTCGAAGTTTCAAGTTCAGGTTTCAAGTTTTATTTATCTTTCTTTCATAACACACTTTACAAATATGACATGAATATAACAAGTGAACAGAATATGGCGTTACAATAGAAAGATGAGGTGACCTTGGTTGAAAGCAAGGCTTATGCAAGGCTTGTGGAAGTAAAAGGGGCACGTGTCAAAAAAGGGTCACTTATCAGAGGTGA